GTGCCAAAAAGCCAGGCTATAACATCTCCTGCTTCCATTATACTTCAAAACAAAACGAAGGATTTTGTTTTAGTAACAACTTTTTACTAACCTCCACACACCTTCTCTAGAACTCACCAAGTCCCCCTGCCCCTCTCCATAAAAGTTGAAAGATCAAATTTATTCTCTTTGTAGGCAGGTGAACATTCACACACCCAGACATAGCCACATATATATTTTATATACCTAAATATAAAATATACATTTTACAGGCACTTCAGCTTGCTCCCTGGCTGCACACAGAAGCCCAAAAAATACATGTTCCAACGTGGTACTTATAATGGACTTCAGTTGAGGCAATGAGAACCGAAGAGCATTATAATGAGGTTCCTGTGTGCACGACTATAATATATACATGACTCAATGTATGGAGAGCTGATAAGCAAAGCTAACACCCTCTCGAATGGCAACATCACAAATGGATCAGGTTCAGCTCCTCATAACAAGTCCTCAATCACTCTCTGTCCTATGCAATGTCCCACTGCATTCCCAGCTTATTGTACCATCTTTACGGCAAACTTACAGGTTTTAATAGAGATTAACCCTCCTGAAAACTTGGGAACATGCCCCTGCAGCTTCTGAAAAAGCATTGAGACCACTTACAGAGCCTCTGATGGCAATAAAATACAAAGCTAACAAACAGAATGAATCCTTGATCGCATTTAATATGTTTTTCAAGTAATTCCTGAAGAAGCCTATTTGATATTGACAGAACTACTGTAATTTCATCCCCATTAAATGATACAGAATTTTTTCCATAAAGAGAAACTCTGTTTCTCAGTCCCAATCCTTTCAGATTCCGAGTCACACATAAATAAGTTATTCTGTATTTATAAGTTGCTGCAGCAGATTCAGACCATCCTACAGCCAGAGTGGATATAACTCAACTCCAGTGAAGTCAACAGCAAAATCCCATTCACTTTGATGGCAGAGGGAAGAGAGGAATTCAATCCCACCTTTGACTGCAAGTGAAAGGAACCAGCTCTTTCTGTACACGTACTCATGCACGGCACCTGGCATGGCACGGCATGCCCAGGCAGCACTGCTGAGTAAAAACCAGAGTAATTATCACTTTCAAATATGGTGTGGTTTTATATTTTTTGACAGAAAGGGAGAAAGACAAAAGAAGAGTATTTAGAATATTCTGTGCTTAGATGTGTAGAGTATTTTACAATTTGAAAGCATAGCAGAAATACTAATTTGATCAGTCCTGGTAGCAAACAGACTTGTGAGCTTTTTATTGCTATTCCGAAGGCCAGGATACAAAGGCACTGACATGTTTAGGTGAGAATTTTCCAAATGGATCAATGACTTTCAATCTCTGGAATTACTGGGCTCTGACATTTGACAAGATTCAGCAGGCATTTTCTCATGCCACTTTTCAAAAGCTAAATCATGATTTCCTAGAAAAGACACGTTCTCTTTTTTGCCCACTTCCCATGAAGTAACATTTGTCCTCAAGCCTAGAACAGATAATATTCTGTACCCCGTCAGCAACAAATTTAACATGCAATTTCTACATAAATGTAATTATTGAAAAACTCTCCAAAAAGGAAACCCAAAGCTACCCGCCTATAAGCACATTTGGGAGAAAAGTTAAGTATTTATACACAGAAGAAGAACTGTTTAAAATAATTTCTGCATTAACAAAGCACAATAAAACTCTTACGTATTTGTTGAACAAGTTAAGAGGTCGTATCCTAGGCATGTTCCAGATATTTAAAATATATAGGCATTACAGGCCGATTTCAGTGAAAAACTGCACAGTGGTGGGAAAGAGCTTTAAACAGAGCTGTATCTTAGAAGAGCCACAGATTTGGCTTTCTGCGAAATACAGGGTGTGTAGGAAAACTGAACATCTTTCAAAAGCATGTTTACCAAGAACACCACAGTTCGTAACAGTCATCCGCAGGAAACAAGAAGGCTCATACATGGTATAACAGAAAGAATGAGCAGGCAAAACAGCAACAAGAGGAAAAAAAGAGCATGCTGCATCATGCTTGACACATTCTTGACTTCCATTCAAAATGAAGGTTCTTGGAGGATTTAATTTACCAGAATGCAGAAATGCCTTAGACATCAATTGCAAATGACCGAATTCTGTAAACCAGCAACTTGAAGGCAGACCCAAAGCTTGCTGAAGTCAATGAAGAGATGCCTGTCAACGCAGCGAGCTTTGTTTTAGGCTCCAAGTAAATACACGTAATAAAAAAACCTTTGTAACACATCACCAAATAAGTTTTCCTTATTTCTTCAGAGAAGTTTTGTGTCATTTGTGATTTCCAACAGTATTTTAGTGCAGAAAAGCCAAGAAGAATAGAAACATTGTGGGGAGAAAAAAACCCCAAAGCTTTTGCAGCCAGACACCTTTACTGACTGTTACAAAAATATTTGCTGAAGAGGTAGAAGCAACTGCTTTTTGGGGACTATACTTTAAAGATTGGACAATCATGATATGGCAGTTCTACAATTATTTGCACTGCCTGACATCATGGATAGACCAACCCTCATATTGTAAAGATAGAAGCTAAGGGAGGAATACTTGTGATGCTTAACTGGGAAATGAAAATTGGAGCAATTCCAAATCAGCAGAATAACTCACCTTGCTTCCTGGTCTGTGCAACTTGAAGCGATCATCTTTCATCAGGCTGGATAATACCTTCTCCATCTTTATCTCTGAAACACTGAAGCAACAACGACAAAAAAATTACCATTTCTCCTACTTTTCAAATATAGCATATAATGAGCCACAGGCTGGTAATGGACAACAAAAAGATTGAGATTTACAGTCTCAACTCAAGAATTTATCCCTGAAATACATGAGGTGTTACCCCAGACACTCACTCAGCAACCCTAAAAGTGTAACTACTGTAAAATCTCAACATCTGCTGAACTGGTGCTTTCACGGGAACAGGGACACAATTTTACCCAGAATCTTGTCACCATTACAAGTCACCAACACACACTCCAATTCTAACAGAGCATCAAACTAACTGAGGGTGGACCTTCAGTTCACTGAAAGTCTCCTCGGTTCTCAACCAGACTAACTGATTAAAGAAAACATTTAGGCCCTTAATTGTATTTCTGTTGTTTTCATAATTTTTCTTTCCTTGCACTAAGAAGGACCAAGACAATTGGGAATCATTTGGTTACATTTTCCACTAAAAGAAACTCAAACCAGAGTTGAAGCAGCTCATAACATTAACACTTCTTGTAGATTTGCTTTATAACTGTAAACAATAAGATCTGTAACCTCCACTTTGAACCCAGAAGGTGTCAAACATTTAATTGTACATTAGATGCCATGGGTAGGGAGCAGAGGTGTCTGCATTCAGTTGTTTGTGCGAGAAAGAGACTGACTGAGACATACATATACAGGCTGGAAAGATGTGCTCCACTTACTTTGCTATTTCCCCTACATCTTGTCTCCCCCAATTTACCTTCCAGCTCATTCAAAGGAACAAAGTGCTTTGATGTTTACACATATTCGTTTCCATCCATGTTAAAGACACAGCTCCTTCCTCTCACAGTGACTCAATCTCAGAGGGCAACAACAGAATCTCAAGGAACTTTTCCTATCAAGCCAACTCTCCTGCAGCTTCCTTCCCTCTGGTCATATCATCAGTCTTTCCCACAAGATCTTACATCATTCCAACTTCTTGCTATGTCACTTGGGTCAAAACTCAGAGACACACTTCCTGATGGACACTCTCCAATTCAGCTATAGCTTCAAAAGCCACCTCTGACATCAAACACACGATTTGATTTCCTGCCCCATTCTGAGAACTCACCTTCCCTCTCATTTGAAGTGTAAAGCCAAAGCCTGGCCCATTAGGGAACCCATAGCATTTTTTTTAAATACAGGAGACTCAGTCAGCTGTCCTAGCCAGGCTTCACACTGGGCATTTATTTTCATTCTGTCGACTCACATTCCTCCTGTAGATTCAACTGGATGATTTATTCTCCAGTCCTGCTTGCAAGACACTGCTGGGTACTGTCATGGCCCAGATGCTGGAAATGCTTACAAACCTGCTTCATTTTAAAGTGAGTGGTCCTACTTAGAGATGCATTTACAGGAGACTGGAAATTCTTCGTCCTCTTTAACACTGTCTTGTGGGGCACACACACACCAGGTGACAATGCAGGAACAGCTGTGCAGCTCCAGGCCATTAATATTACAGCTGCATCCAAAGTGGGTCCTATTTCCAAGGGAATTAGTCAGACAATAAAAGCTGAGTTTGTGGGCCCAAATTTTCAGCAATGGGCAAAGGTCATCTCTAGAAAAGAGATTCTCTTCCTTTTTATACCAGAATAAATCATAAATACTGCATGGAAGCCAAAGAGTTCATTTGGGGTTACATCAGTCTAAGGAAGACAGAAATCTTGGGGGTCCAACAGTTCTCAGACTCCTGAATCTCAGATGGTAAGAAAGATGCATGCAGTTTCTGAAAGGAAGCATTGCTGATATTCTTCAATTTGTAAAGTACAGAAAAAAATTATAACAAGAAGGATATCCCCTTTCTTTTCACTCAAAGATCTCTAAGCACCTGGCTAGGAGAAATGGATGAATCTTTGCCATACTGTCTTAGCAGGATACTGTGATCCTCACCTGATCCCCAGTCCTTCCCAGTTAAAGCAACAAATACCTTTACTTCTGCAATCTGTCTTTTCAACCTCAGCCAGCTCACCATCACAACATAAGGAAAGAAAACAAGATGGTCCAGAGAAATAGAAATAAACCATCCAGCCTGGAAGGTAAAGTCCAGTGCGGTCATAAGATATCCTATATGGGAGACAAGCACCATCGCCGTGCAGCTGGGACTCACGATGTAGCAGATTCCTCCGCAAAGGATGCAGAGAAAGGCGGGGGAGCGATGGGGGAGAAAGGGAAATGGAGCATAAAAAGACAACTGAGGGTTTCTCTGTTTGGTTTTGAAAAGTATAACAGTAAATTAAAACATAAATGGCAACCACTTAAGCAAGAGAAAAGTATACCTCCCCATCCCCCCCAAGGCTGCTTTGACACCGCTATGAATGAAAACGTCAAACCTTTGACATTGATTTGTCTGAGATGTCACCCCCTCTCCGATCCTCCTCTCGCCTGGCGCACTGCCAGCTCACAGCCTAACTGATATGTGAACTTGGTTCACAGCGGGGAGCATCATGTGAGGGGAGCAGGGGAGGGGGGCAAGCACAACCGTAGAGAAGGAAGAGAAATGACTCGTGCCTTCACGGTGATGCGTTTTCCTTTATAAATTAGTTAGGCCGCCGTTAGGAGATAAAGAAATTATCTGATAGCTGTCGAGGCAGGCACTGCTAGATTGCAGTTGAAGGAACTAAAAGAGACATAAGGGAAAAAAATAAAGTGAACCTCACTGACTTTCTTCTGCTTCTTGCCTCTTCCCTTTGAAGGAAAATCTGTTAGTTATGCTTAGAGCCGAGACAGAACATTTTGGAGTCTAACCTTTAAAAAAAAAAAAAAGGAAAGAAAAAAAAAGGAAATGTACAGAAAACATGAGTAACATGAGTGTGCATGTGCATGCACTTAAGCATTTACAGTTAGGTAGAGGAACTGCAACTTCAAGCCACACAAAGACCAAAAAGAAAGTTGCAGAGAGAAACATGCAGCCTTCTTGAGCCCCAACGGGAGTTAGCGATCTCAGCAGAGCCAAAGTGAGATCGTTTTGGCAAAGGCTAAGGCTGCTTTTCCACAGTGGAAGCCAAGGAGAGGCTTCAGGTACCGGTGAAAATTAATTGCGAGCGATTTCCAATTTCAAAGGCAGTCATCCCTAATTCCGAAGTGGATTTTCATCCAGGAACAAAGCCACGTCTGCTCTCATTACTTCCGACTCTCAACATTTCTGGACTTACTCCCATGCATGCTGGGGTGGGTGGAGGGGTTTAAGAAAAAACTCTGGGTCAGATCCTCATCTACTGTGCATCAGCACAGCACTGCTCATTTACACCAGCTGAAGGCTGCAGGGACCCATCTCATGCTTTGTCTTCTTAGAAATACATATTTTATGAAGTATTTACATTTCAATAAACCCAGTGGGAATTTCATTTTAAAAAGAAAAAACAAATTAAAAAAAATTCACAACACACACTCATCCTCAACAAAAACCAAGAGATTTAAAAATTAAACAAAGAATAAAAAAAATGCAAACTCCAGTAACTTGTGCAGTCCAAGTCAAAAGCTACAAAGGCTTAGGGTAAAGAAACAAAAATTATCAGTGCTTAAGAGGATCGGTGACAGTCCAACACATGCTGTCTTTCGCCCTCGCACTGAATTAAATTGTCAGGATTATCACCATAATGCTCTGTTTATGAAGGGTAACGGCAATTTGTGCTGATGGCACTTGCTGCCTTTAGCTTCAAGCTGCCTTCCTGCATCTTCTCTGTAATTCATCAGCTCTCTTTTCTATCCCGTTGCCCTTTCTCACACCATGCGCTACTATGTAGGAAGAAAAAAAAGACTGTTAACAGGCCGAATTGCCCATCCATGCCAATTAGACACTCATTTTCTTCCATCTGAAGATGGGGGTCAAGGAAGGCAAATTACAAACCTTTCTTGGCAAGTGCCTTATCTGCAGAGCAGCACGTTTTATGAAGAACATAAACCAAACAAACAAGAAAAGACAATCCCCAGAGTTGTTTGGCTCTACTGATTTGAGAAGTGAGGGGAAAAAAAAATTAAATTAATATAAACCTCCCTCCGCTCATTCAGCACAGTCTTCTACAGATTCCTGAAGAACATGGCTAGCTCAACAACAGGTCTCCTTAGTAGATATAATTACCAGCATGAGTGACACTGCTCCTTAAACTTGTTAAAAAACAACAAAATTGGATAAAAGCATTAACATTTAAAACAAAAAGAGGAGGGAAATTTCCCTCTTCTTCCCCCAACATCTCCAAAACATTGTAACATAGAAAAACAGAACTTTACACTCGGAGTTAGAAATTCACAATTATGTGGGATTTCACCTTTAAATGTCAGTGCTGTTTGTTGCATGAAAAAAACCCCTGTCAGCTTAGCCCTCCATGTCTTGCTGGTGTCTGCTTAATAGATAGTTACCTGGGATGATGGATGGCTCTTTGTTAGACCACTAAGTGGCTCACAGCCTAGAATAAGCCTGTATTTACTGCCAACATTTGTTTGTTTCAAGGATGCAAACCCAAATTCGACTCCACCCGACATAAACACAAGAAATAAGAGAACTCATTTGTGCGTGAGTTTACAGGGCTCCATCAACGCCAGTACAACACTAAAGGGATTCTACTTGGTGACGTTCTGAAACACCAAGAGAGAGCAGCGCAGGGAGCAAGGGGAGTCACATATATCCAGCTGACTGCTGAGGAGGCTTGAGACCTGACAGCACTCCTGACTAGCAATGCTGAGCAGCAAGTTGTGGGTTTTCTCCACAAAAGGACCATTGCGCAAGCAGAGCTGGATTAAAATCTCATCATGTATCGGCCATCAGGTAGCTGACAGCACATTGGGCCGGTCCTTACCCAGCCTGGCTTGCTCTCCTTAGTGTCTACTCCCAAGTCCAAGCTACAGCCACTGCAAGAGAAGCTTTCTAAGCTAGCTTGGAAGCACACTCCGCTTTTGGTCTGCAGAGTCCACCCTCTTATTGCCTTCCAGGACCATACTGGGCACGCATCACTTGCAAAAGCCTCTACTATTCCTGTCACAAGCCACTTGCACAACACATCTTGGCCAATTACCTGCCAGATATGACCCACAGCTCCCTAGCTATTTCTCTGCCGGATCGCTCCTGAAGAGAAAGCACAATGTCTGACAATATGGTGCTACGCAGGCAGATGGCCAGTTAGCATCTGACAGGCTCACTTGACTTGTGATCTCCGCATAGCCATGATTTGAACCCAGGGCCAGAGAGATAACAATGGAGTGCAAAGGATCTCTGACCATCGTCTCCTCTCTGCCTCTCACCACACACACTCACTCATGCACAATCTGTCAGGCTGATGATTTTCACACACTTTCCTCTTCTCCTTTTGCTAGTCTGGGGCCGGTCCTGGATCACAAGAATTAATAAATTCTTATTAAAACCTGCACGAGACACAGTCCCGCTGAAAGTGCCATGGAAGGTTAATTAGCAAGGATGAGCTGAAACTTTTGTTCGCGTTTCTGACTCACTTAATCTTGTGAGAAGCCAGCAAGCTGACATATTCTGCCTCCGAAGGCGCCAGGACAAGCAGGCTGTTCCCGTGACAGCCAATGCGAGCCGTCCTCCCGATCCGGTGGATGTATTCCGCAGGTGAAGCTGGAGCGTTATACTTCAAAAAGGGAACATGAGAAAGGAAAGGAGGAATTAACAGAACACAGCATGTTAATTATGAACGAGACACTCAGCCCGCTCATCTGAAACAAAAGGGATCTCAGCAAAACCCACATGCTGTACCTCCCTCGGAATTGGCCTGTTTATAAAGAGCCCATTGGGCTCATCCCTGTAACCATCATTCAGCCCCCTCAGCTGCAGCAGTTTTTTTGACATGTGAATGTGACACATTGGCCAACTTTCAGATAATAGGACAGTTTCCCCATCTCAATGTCTCTCTCTGCCTTTTATATTTTATTTCTATACAGGCACATCAGGAACCTGTTTGCTTCCCCCCA